CTTTCAGGATACTGCGTCCTCTGCTCTGCTCTCTCCTCTTCCCAGGACAGTGAGACTCCAATAACGCCAGCTGTAAATTACAATATAGGCTACTTCTTCTTTTTTCACAAAAAATTACATATTCAATAATAAGGAAGATAAAAAGAAGTTAAAAGATTTTTAGATTGTATTTCAGTATATGAGAAAAAAGTCCGAATTCTCTCAGAATTCGGACTTTTTTTTTTTTTTTTTTAGAATTCTGACTTTAATCTCAGAATTCCGACTTCAATTTTAGAATTCCAACTTTAATCTCAGAATTCTGACTTTTTTTCTCAGAATTCTGACTTTAATCTTAGAATTCCAACTTTAATTTCAGAATTCTGACTTTTTTCTCAGAATTCTGACTTTAATCTCAGAATTCCGACTTTTTTCTCAGAATTCCAACTTTTTTCTCAGAATTCCAACTTTTTTCTCAGAATTCCGACCTTAATCTTAAAATTCCGACTTTTTTCTCAGAATTCAAATTGTAATCTCAGAATTCTGACTTTAAACTAAGAATTCCAACTTTTTATCTAAGAAGTCTGACTTTTTTCTCAGAATTCTGACTTTTTTCTCAGAACACTGACTTTAATCTTAGAATTCCAACTTTAATCTCAGAATTCTGACTTTTTTTTCTCAGAATTCTGACTTTAATCTCAGAATTCCGACTTTTTTCTCAGAATTCCAACTTTTTTCTCAGAATTCCGACTTTAATCTCAAAATTCCGACTTTTTTCCTCAGAATTCAAATTGTAATCTCAGAATTCTCACTTTAAACTAAGAATTCCAACTTTAATCTCAGAATTCCAACTTTTTATCTAAGAAGTCTGACTTTTTTCTCAGAATTCTGACTTTTTTCTCAGAACACGGACTTTTTTTTCCCTCAGAATTCTAACTTTAATCCCAGAATTCCGACTTTAATCTCAAAATTCTGACTTTTTTCTCAGGTTTCCAATTTTTTTTCTCAGAATTCTGACTTTTTCCCATATTAAACTGAAATAAAATAAAAAAGAAAATCTACTTTTTTGCAGTGGCCCTAATCCTCTTCCATACATTTAAAAAGAAAAAGAAAAAACAAAAACATCACATGCATTTATTTTGTGTTTAGGATGTGATGATATCTTTCGACATGTTGCGTCATGGCTCCAGTAGGAGGCGCTTTTACACAAATGGCTGTTTTTTTTCTTCTTCCTTCTCTTTTCTATTTCTAACTAAAAAAAAAACCAAACACAATTTTAGAAATCTTGTAAGATGTTTTTAAAAAAAAAAAAAAAAGGCAATAAGTTTTAAGCCAAATGATTAAATCAGGAAATGCACAAACAGCTTTCTTCTTAAAATCACTCAGGGACATATCATGGTTTATATGAAAAGGGTTTAAATATAGTAATAATATATATGTGTGTGTGCGAAACTGTGCAGTAATAGTTAATTTGTAACTCTTTAAACCTTGCACATTTGCTTTCTTGTGGTCCAGACTATTTAAGCAAGATCAGTTCAAAATGGTTGTGTGAAGAGGTAGGACTCTTTAAGATTTTGAATTTAGGGAGGTATTTAAGGTATTTGAATTTGAGGTATCATCTAGAAATGGGTTACTATTTACTAATGGATTGATTTGCATCTGCCTGCCAATCCAAGAAAAATAACCCTGCCTTAATGGACTGTGGAAGGAAGCTAGAGTACCCAACAAACTGGAGAGAACCTAAAAAAAAAGAAAGATTCGATTTAATCTTAGAACTTTCTTACTGCGAGGAAAAAGTGCTTTCAAGATCACCATATAGCCTATTACTAAAAATGCAACATGGATTGAATTACGGCTCAAATAAAACCTTTTCAAAAAAATAACCCCAATATCAACATTTGGTCATGACGTCTATACTCTTTTTTCAAAAATGGAATAAAATTCCAAATATTTGTGTGAGTTGCAGAGATAAGACAATGGGGAGAAAAAAAAACTACAGCTTTTATTGCTCAAAAACATATATGACTGCAAACAAACTAGGAAACCAAAGAGGAAGCTAGAGCCTGCAAATAACTACCTAAATTATTTATTAAGCAGACTTTAAAAACAAGGTGTGTTGATGAAGGGCCAACTCCTGGAATCAAAAATACCATTCCCAGTTTGCGTGTATGGCTGGTTTAGATAAAGGCTGCCCCCAAGTGGTGCAATGACATATATGCAAACTGCAGTCACACAAACAAGAGGAAGGTCAGCTTTGTTAAAAAATATTTATTGAAATGAATTCACAGTTAGCTGGTGGATCAATAAAAATGAATACACATCGATCCAAATCCAGAATCCCTGAATGCTAATGAGATTATAAGAACATGGTAAAATAACCCAGCATTTAATACCATAGTCAGCCTTTAGAATTGAACATGCTGATTCTCTCTATGGTTAACTGCTAATTACATTCAGTGATAAAAAAAAAACACATTAACAAGAAATAATATTATATATATATATTTCAGTGTTTCAGAGTAAGAATACTGATGTCGGTCTTAAAGGCTGAACATTGAAAAATCTGCAATCAGTTATAAAAACTGTTTTTGTTAGCTAATCATTAATCGACTTCTCAATAGAATAAGAATATCGAATGAAAAATCCAGTTTTAACTCTGTGCTAAAGATTTAAAAGAAACTTGAAGATGTTGGTGTTACAAAATCAAACCATTTATTCAAAAACTTATTAGAAGCCAAATATTTGTATCAAACGCAGCCATGAATGATGCTCTTAACTGTGAGACCTCTTTGTTTCTCAGACACTATGCTGTGATACACTTTACAATCCAGCCTCTCTTGTTCCGGTTCATTAAAAGCACTTTTAGAAAACAACACCTGGTTTTGCGGATTCACCTCAATGCCATACAGCTGGCAAAGTTTGGCTGTAAAAGATGTTTCCAAGCACAAGAGCTGTGCTAGTCTATCAAGAGGGAAGCGGCAGTTGCGGCTGTTGTATCCGTGGCAGTATATGAGCAGTAAGCGTCTGCGACATGTCAGCAGGTGGCGGTGCAACGCACAGGCCTGCAGGAAGTCCAGCTTCTGGGCTAATCGGAGTAATCGCACAGGGTTTCCAGCCTGAAATGCTTCATTGATTGCTAAAGCAAGCTTGATTGAAGGAGCTTGGCGCAGGCGCTCAGGGAGTTCCAAAATATGCTGTGTGGCAAGACTTGACCCTGCAGAGAAAGCATGAATTCAACAGGTTACACACTACATTCTTAGTGAAATGCCAGCTCACTAAAAGCAGACACCATACGTTCTTGCATGCATTCAATGTATATGACATTAATTCAGCATAATTCCAACAAATATGAATCATGTAAAAAAATAAAATAAAAATAAAAACGACTTGATATTATGCTGGAAAAAAAGCAATTGTGCTAGAGTATACACTATAGTTTGCAGGTGACTTTTCAACATGTAGTATTCTTGAATTTATCTCTGGATCTAAATACAGGGTTTATACATGAATGAGTAACTCTTATTTAATGCCTTTTAATGTTCTTAGAAATAATCTTAATGTCATCAACAAGTACCATGACTTATGTATATATATATATATATATATATATATATATATATATATATATATATATACACGCACGGCAAAATCCTTCGTCATCTTGACCGTGGACAGGCTGCAGCCATGTCCCAAGTTCCTTGTTTTCCCGCCACTTTGGTTCAAATGTGCATTTTTCCCCCCATTCTCTAGCCTTTTCTCTTCCTCAAGCTTCTTCTCTGTAGCATTTTAATGCCACAATTATCAAATTTAATGAATTTTAATGCCAATTAAGGCCTTAATTTAAAAAATTATAATTTAATTACTTTAATGATTTTTAATGACCCGCGGAAACCCTAAAATAATATGAAGTACAGATGAATTGTCCTAGAGTCCAGGACAATTAAACTTTACTCCCCAATATTTAGAGCAAGAATTTAAATCTAAGGCCTAGACTTACTTAAAAGCAACAATTTCAAAGATGTTAAAACAGATTTAAATAAGATCATTTTGTACAAAGATATGAGTTTGGTGAAGATTACTAATAGCCTACAGTTTACACCACAGGACATAGAAGACACTTGAACTGGGTTCAAGTGTGGATGGAACCTCTCCAAACTTGGTGGACAAAGGTGTACACTGGAGAAAATCAAAATCTAGATAAGTCATTTTTCTTAAAATAAGTGCATTTGTAAAATAGACATTTTGCCAATGGAACAAGACAATTTACACTTGTAAGAAAACACAACTGCGTTGTCTTATTTCAAGTGTATTTTATCTAATTATCTTATTTTAGGAGTAAAAATACTCCTTCCATCACCATCTCATTTACCTACTTAAATTACCGGTAAGAGTAAATACACTTAATTAAAGCTGAAGTCTGTAAGTTTTTAAAAATCATTTTTTGGCATATTGGCTAAAACTGTTAGCCTGGGTGCCATTCCGAACTTAGTCCCGCCCACAAAGTTTGAGGTCGGGGAAGTTCGGTCTGGCTCTGCTCCATAGTAGCGCCAGTATTATCGCCCACTGTCAGGCGATCCAATCAAATTGTCAGGGCGGGCTTTATACGATGATGGACAGATGACCAACAGTAACGTAATCAACCACGTGACCAATGCGCGCTTGGGTGACAACAACAATGGCTGCCGCTGGAGAGTTTAGGTAAGTAGATTCTGCTATTAGGTCTGTTCTAGAAGATATTGACAGCAAATTAATTTTAAAAGAGGAACAGAGAAACGCGATCAAGTCTCATCTTCTTATTCTAGGCGTGAAACTGCACGCTTTGATTTTTGTGGACAACAACTATGCCTCGCTTAACATACGTCACGCACTCCGTTGCTCTTATTGGTTGTAGGTCTATCCAATTGAGTGCAGAGGCATTTTTTTTCCTGGTTCGTTCGAAACACGCCCCATAATCACAGCTCTATGGAGCAGTATCAGACTCATATTCTGACTAGAATTGAGTCGGACTACGTCAGGCTATAAAA